TATCATTTGCCTGATAATAAATGTTGGAAATGTAAAGAAAACGAAGGTACTTTCTTTCACCTTTGGTGGACGTGCCCAAAGATCAAGGCATTCTGGGAAATGATATATAATGAATTAAAAAGGTATTGAAATATACTTTCTTAAAGAAACCAGAGGCCTTCCTCTTGGGCATGGTCGGCCAATTGCTGCGAAGGGAAGACAGAACGTTTTTTATGTATGCGACAGCAGCAGCAAGAATACTCATTGGGAAATACTGGAAGACACAAGAATTGCCTACCCGAGAAGAATGGCAGAGAAAAGTGATAGACTATATGGAACTGGCTGAGATGACCGGAAGAATCCGAGACCAAGAAGAAGGGTTGATGGAAGAAGATTGGAAAAAGTTTAAAACATACCTTCAGAACTACTGTAATATAAAAGAATGTTAGGAAAGGTTGGAGAAGAAATATTAGACCGTATTGGCAGACAGAGTATAATGGAATTAAGTAAATATGAAGTGTAAATTAAAAGATAGAGGAGAACTAAATATTTTGGAATGTTAAAATGTTAAAATAAGTAAATGAAAAGAAGGTTAGAAAGATTTGCTGGAGATACAATTTGAATTAGAATACAAAGCAGAGAAGTGAGAGGAAGCCACGGAAATAAGTAAATGGGAATACGGTTTGCTTAATTCGAATTTTCTTTTTTTTGTAATTTTTTCTTTTTTTCTATTGTGACTTTTTGTCTTGTGTATTTTTTTGCTTCTTTTTCTGTATGGTGTGTTTTTTTTTGTTTTGTAAGAAGTATGTGATTGGTTCTTCTTGCTGTATTTTTTTCTCTTTTTGTAATTTTAAAATTTGAATAAATATTCTTATAAAAAAAAAAAAAGGAATTGCCAGGGCCAGCCCAGTTAGCAGCCACTGGCTTCCTCCATCCAGGAAGAAGCTAGTGGATGCTCTGTGGACACACATTTACAATCACACACACAATCACACACCTGCTCCCACCCAACTCCTCCCAGTGTCAAGCTGTGATTCTGCCAAGATTTATTGGAGCAGAGATGACTGGAGAACAGCCCCATTAAATTGCAAAGCGCCATGCTGAGGTTACTCTAGGGAGGGCATTTTCCTAGGGTGCCCTTAGAAAAAGCTGATCCCATCCGATTGCCGTGCCTCATAAGAACGTCAGATTAGAAAGAGCTTCCAATGACCGGTTGGTTCCTGAATCCTCAGCTGGGCTGCTGGCTACTCCCCTTCATCAAATTTAGGGGGCACATAAAATGTGCACCTACAAATCAGGGCTCACTTTCCCTTCCATACTTCGGGCAGACTCAGGTAGGTAGCCGTGTTGGTCTGACGCAGTCAAAATAAATTTAAAAATTACAAAATTGTCCAGAAGCACCTTAGAGAATACTAAGTAGTTCTGGGTATAAGCTATGGGTATAAGAAGTGTGCATGCACACGAAAGCTTATACAGTGGTACCTCGGGTTAAGTACTTAATTCATTCTGGAGGTCCGTTCTGAAGCACCACTTTAGCTAATGGGGCCTCCTGCTGCGCCACCGGAGCACGATTTCTGTTCTCATTCTGAATGAGAATTTCTGTTCTCATTCTGAAGCAAAGTTCTTAACCTGAGGTACTATTTCTGGGTTAGCGGAGTCTGTAACCTGAAGCGTATGTAACCCGACGTACCACTGTACCCAGAACTACTTAGCTGGTCTCTAAGGTGCTACTGGACAATTTTTTTATTTTTATTTTTATTTATTAGGGCAGACTGACTTCTTCTGTCTGGTTCCACAAGCTGCTTGACGGATTTCCTGGCCAGCAGTTCTAACATTGATTCAGTACTCTGTCTTTCCCGCCCCATCCCCAGCTTCCTCTTTTGAAAACAAATATGACAGTGTTGGGTTTTCTGGGCCCCATCCCTCCTCTACCCCACCCTCTGCTTTTATGCCCCTCCTTGCCCCCTGCTTTCCTCGCAGGCTCTACTGCTGCCCCCCCCCCCAGCCATTCAGGTATTCCTGTTCTAGCCGGGAACCCAGACATGGAGAGCAAACAACTCACCAAGACCCAGCTGTGGGTCTCTTTCCTTCTTTGTGCTGGTCAGGGGTGGACTTGGGTAATCTTTGGTGTGGCACTCTGAGTGAGGCCAATATTTGGCGCCCCAAAATGAATCCACTCAGTGGTGGGTCTTCTCAATTTTGCCCCTCCTCGGATCAGGGCCGTGTGCAGGGGAACCACCTCCTCTGCCCTCAGTCCAGTTCTGGTGCTGATCTTCAGACCACGAAGCTCTCCCTGGTAGAAACGACCAGTCAGGGACTACATGACATTTCCTTTCCTGCAGTCAGGTATGTGCTGTTTATCCATTTTTGGCAATCCTAAGGCAATATACAGTCAGAACTGGGACATTGCTGTCCTGTCAAACTAGTGAAAAATCTGAGTTATTAGACCCAAGATGGACCACCAAGTGGCTTCTCCAGACCACCTCAGAAGAAGCCATAGGAAGCATTAGCCAGAGCAGCAAACAGTGGAAGTTTATGTGTCCTCCTCCTCCCTACCTCAGAGTCCCAGGAGGGGAGCCAATTAGACTCCAGAGGAATAAAGTCGGTTATCATAAGTGAAAAGGGAGAACCTCAGGGCTGAGCTGGGATTTCAGCCAGGGATGCGCTACTCACTCTCCCTAGTTCTCCAAGTGGGGTGATGCCCAGGGGGCCAGAGTGCTACTGGTTTTACTTGGGTTTCAGACAAGAGTGTGGGCTTGTATTGATGGACAAGCAGAGCCTATGGGGGGCAAAGGGGTACTCCTTTAGCAGACAGCAGTGCTGCCGATCCTTGCATCAGCTTTGCAGGGCTCTGTCACTGCAGCCTCCACAGTAGTTTGTTTCCTGCCTTTCTGTTTAAAAGACCCCCTGCAAGGCAGTTTATTTGGGTAGGACTACATTTGGACGCGGGTGGCGCTGTGGTCTAAACCACAGAGCCTAGGACTTGCCGATCGTAAGGTTGGCGGTTCAAATCCCCGCAACAGGGTGAGCTCCCATTGCTCCATCCCAGCTCCTGCCAACCTAGCAATTCGAAAGCACATCAAAGTGCAAGTAGATAAATAGGTACCGCTCTGGTGGGAAGGTAAATGGGGTTTCTGTGCACTGCTCTGGTTCGCCAGAAGTGGCTTCGTCATGCTGGCCACATGACCCGGAAGTGTACGCCGGCTCCCTCGGCCAATAAAGCGAGATGAGCGCCGCAACCCCAGAGTCGGCCATGACTGGGCCTAATGGTCAGGAGTCCCTTTACCTTACATTTGGGTGGAGGAGCAGAAGTTCCTAGCTTCAGCCTCAGCACGTTTAGTTAAAAGGGCTCAAGAGACAAGATCCATTTTCTGAAAAGGCTGCCACACCCATGTGAAGGATGGGTCTCCCAGGGCCAGGCCATAGCAGCTTCCCCACCCATTGTCTTGTTGCAATAGAAGATTTATGATGACCGGCTACAAAGTTCATACTTCTGCTTAGGCAAGCCCTTTCCGCACCAGGGCTGATGAGCGGTTGCTTATCACCCAGAAGCAGAATTATAACTGTGATTCAATGCAGCAATTAATATTTTATTACATTTACACCTACCTTTTGCCCATGACAGAACTCAAGGAACCCCAGGTGGTCATTCATCTGGGCAGGCATATAATATGGGCATCCCAAGAACTACAACTGCTCTGATGTCCACCTTCAAATATCTCAAGGGCTGTCACATGGAAGGTAGAGCAAGACTTGTTTTCTGCTGCTCTGGAGGGAAGGACTCAAACCAGTGGCTTCAAATTGCAAGAAAGGAAATCCCAACTAAACATCAGGAAGAGCTTTCTGAGGGTAAGAGGAGCTGTTGGACAGTAGAACGATCTCCACCAGAAGATGGTGGACTCTCCTTTCTTGCAGGATTTTAAGCAGAGGTTTGATGGCCATCTATCATGGATGTTTCAGCTGAGATTCCGGCATTGTAGGGGTTGGACTACATGACCCTTGGGGTGCCTTCCAACTCTACAATTCTGTGATCCAGGGTCACTATCCTGCTTTGCTACTTAGCCTTCGAGACAGAGCCTGCCAAACCATCTCCTTAGATGATGCTTTATGGGCTGCAGTTCCTTTACTGCCACCCTCCCCCCTTCTCTCTTCCGTGTCCCTGTCCGCCCTTTCCACCCTTCCTCCCCAATCACCCTCCATCTCTTCTGCCCTCACCTCTCACCCCCATTTCTGCCAGCTCTCAAGCTTTCCCCCTGAGGTGTCTCACTCTCCTTCGCTAGCGCTGGATTCCTCCTGCCTCCTCTTCCAGCTGGCTTCTTATCTCTCCCATCTCTCTTGGGTCTCATAACTCACACACACCCCACCTGAGAGTAGGGAATTCTGATGGTGGTAGAGGGTTCCTATGACAAGCCCCTGTATTCAAATGTAGCTGAAGACTGCCACCTAGAGCACCTGGGATTTACGCACCGCTGCCATAAACCACAAATAGATAGCTGTTCAATGTTTTGTTTCTAGATATGCTTCCCCACTTTTTGCTCACAAATGCTAACTGTCCACCTTTCAAACATAGTTGCAGTGTTGTTAGGAAAGTGGAGGTAGCCTCTTAGCATGGCTGCAAAGACTGTTTACATCAGAAATCAGGTGTGACTCACCACTGGACAAAACCACAGTCTGTCTTGGTAAAAGGCCAGATTCATCTAGTCTCATATTCCCATAAATCTGTGAGGCTTTAATCGTGGACCTTTTCTCCCAGAAATATGCTGTCTCTCTCAATACCTTTGTGTTGCATGGAACTCTGTACATGCTCTGAAACCTAAGATTCTGCTCAAGCTAGTAAGATGTAACTAGGCTGCCATCCTCAACCCACATACCTGGGAATAAACCTCAGTGTACTCAGCAGGACTTACTTTTGACTCAGCCTACACTGACACTCGTTGACCCAATGATTGCAATGCCGGAAGGACACACACACCATTAATCTTTGCAGTTACAATGGACTTTTATTTGATCCAATTTTACATCCACATTTCACTTGTTAGATTGTTTTTTAATTGTAATCATGGACATGATTGGTCAGCAGAGAAGATTGCAAAGAAAAGGAAGTTAAGAATCATAGAACTGTGGTGTTTCTTTCATGGAGAGGCTAGCTGGAACACCAGGTTGTAAGAAACCAAGAAGCCATCATTGTACAGATACAGTTTGCGGTCTGTTGGGTGGTAGTCAACCCCCCGCACTGTACCAAAAGGCTTCTCCAGCACTATGCTAATCCGGCCCTCCTTCCCCGTCTTTGTGTCAAATGTATAGAAGATTTCCTCTTGATGTGTGTTCAGAGACCGAGTGACGTACAGGACTCCGCAGATGATGAAGGCACTTGTCACAGATGGCTTGTACTGCCGTGTGAACCAGGTCTTCTGCATCTGGAGGGTGTCCTCGTTTATTTTGCTAATCACGATGTTCCCTGTGTTTGCCTCTGTGGAATAAATGGCCCACAACCCACTTTCATCCACAACCAAGTCTATATCTTGCCAAGCCTTCCCTGCATAGGAAAAGCGGTTGTTGTAGGCAGCCCCTGTGATCGTGCTTTTCAAAACCACAGTGTTAGAGGTCAATTCTAATTTATACATCTGATTGGTGTTGTAGTAATTAAAGTACAGGAAATTCTTGTATACTGTTGCTCCACTTCCTTGCCCAGATAGACTAAGTCTCTTAGATGGTGCATAAAATAATAGGTTTTCATAGGATGAGTAAAGATCAATTGTCTGCATGTTCCTTTCATCATACATTGGGGCCACCCAATAGGCTTCACTTGTAGGGCTGCCTGGAGAGTAGCCTTTGCCCCAGACACCATACCGGTAGCCAGACCCTCTCCAGTTCCAGCTGTGGAGGTGTGGCTTGCTGATGTTCACAAGGCCACTGTGGTTGCAGAAGCCTAGAACCAAACAGAGAAAGAGAAGATGATTTGAAACTACTGGGAGACATGAACATGGTGAGAGAAACATTAAGCCTTCACATTGTGGTTTAGGGTAAAAGTCTGCTTGGGTTTAAGAAGTCTGTTTTCAAGACTCTTCTGATTAAGTCAATGCAATTGAGCTGGAGAAAACCCCACCAGCTAGGCAATCTTCTGAGCTGATGGAAAGGGTGTTTCTACTGCCATTCAGAGGTTAACAGCTTTTATAGGAATGACAAAGTCATTGCAACTCATTTAATAAGGAACCAAAAGAAACTCGCTTTACAGGAAAGGCAGCATTACTGGTCAAAAACCTCAAACATCCCGTACTTCCTTCACCTTTCCCCCACTTCATGCTGACTCTCTTCTTTCCACTCCATGAAGGAAGCCCATCATGCCCTATGACAGGCCCAGATCCTTGCAGACACATACATTATGCTTCTGCCATGTGGAACTTCAAACAACCTATTTATGGTGCAGGATCATTTGCCCTGGTTTGCATGTCTTCCCATTAGCTGCTCGTTCAACGCACACTTTGTCACTTTGCAAATTCCAGGAAATTGTGAAGAGGATCTTCACCCATGGTTTATGGTGGGGCGTGGGGAGGATTTAGTTAGGTATGCAATGACCCAAGAACTGTGGAAGCAGCTAGAAACCAGCCATACGAGACCAATGAATGTGCTCCAATCCCCAGGCTTCCCCCACCCCAAAGTCCCAAGCAGTGCTGAGGGCCTCCACTGTCTCCCACGGACTGTCTTAGAAGCCCTGCTGACCTGGTGGAACCAGTTGACCAGAGCCTGGCTCTTCACATTCCTTCAGCCGTTGCTTCAGGGCCAGGATCTCCCGTCGGATGGCCAGGACATTGTTCTTGTCCAGATTCTCCAGATGAGCCACCATCAGGCTCATGTTCTTAATCTGAAGAGAAAAGGAAGGATACAGATCTGGTGACCAACATGCTGCCCTCCTGATATTGTTGGGCTGCAACTCCTGTCTCCGTCTCCTGGCCATTCCCCACTGGCAACCCCCTTTGTCAACTCAGGGACAACCTGAATTAATTCAGGCACACTGATGTCCTTCTGCCTTTCTAATATGTGCCTATTTTATTTAAAACATTTCTATGCTCTATTTGGGTCTTTTATATTTCCCAAAAGATAAAACCTATCCATCTGTCTGTCTGTCTGTCTGATCCAGCCTCACCTCCACATAGAGCTGTTGGACCACCACATTGCTCTCTCCCATGGAGGCCTTCAACTGAACCACTAGACTCTCCATCTCCTGGATCTCCAGCTTCAGGACCTCGAAATCCAGCTCCGTGTAGGAGGTTTGGCTCTTGTGCATCTCCTCCACCCGTTGCGTGAGGTTGAAGAGCTTATGGCCATAGACATCCACAATCTTCATATACTCGGTCACCTACAGGAAGAGGGAGGAGGAGAAGCCAGGCAGGGAGAGAAGGGAAGGAACTGATGAGCGCCCCTTTACTGAACTGGCCCATTCATGTTCTCCTCCCACTCTTAAACTGGAGCAGCTCTCTCCTTCTTTTCTCAAGATTTCACATGAGGGGAGCTGCTTTTGCTCTGGTGTTCAAGGCTAAGCACGACTGGCAAACTAGATAAGGTAAAAAGTCATGAAAGTAAGTGGTCAAGGTGAGGATGGAGGAAATTTGGAAGGAGAGGAGAAGAGAGGCCTGCTTCCAGAAAGAGGCAGATGTTTCTCCAAAAGAAAGAGGGGTCCTGGTGGGATCGTAGAGTTGGCCTATTCAGTCTTGTTTTGAGTGACAACTGCTCCAGCAAAGCTGTCTTAATCTTAATAACCAACTACTTGACTTGCATAATTAGGGACGCAGGTGGCGCTGTGGGTTAAACCACAGAGCCTAGGACTTGCCGATCAGAAGGTCGGCGGTTTGAATTCCCATGATGGGGTGAGCTCCCATTGTTCAGTCCCAGCTCCTGCCAACCTAGCAGTTCGAAAGCACGCAGTGCAAGTAGATCAATAGGTACCGCTCCGGTGGGAAGGTAAATGGCGTTTCCGTGCGCTGCTCTGGTTCGCCAGAAGCGGCTTAGTCATGCTGGCCACATGACCCGGAAGCTGTACGCCGGCTCCCTCGGCCAGTAAAGTGAGATGAGCGCCGCAACCCCAGAGTCAGTCACGACTGGACCTAATGGTCAGGGGTCCCTTTGCCTTTAGCTGACTTGCATAACTTATTTCATCCCTAGAATATGGTCTTGTTTGGGGCAGATCTGGGGGCAGGAATGGGCAAGGAATGAACAAATGATACATTAACTCAGGAAATATGAATATGAGAAAAGAACTGCAAGTCATGCCCAGCGGCAGGTTTTGCTTTATTAGCTAATCATAGAATCATATAATTGTAGAGTTGGAAGGAACCCCAAGGGTCATCTAGCCCAACCCCCTGCAATGCAGGGCTCAAGATACAATGTGTTGATCATATACACGGCAATGCATCCTCCTACATTTCATTGGGAATGGAATACCAATTTCTTGGCATTTAGTGGTTAAGAAGGCCCAAGGCCTGCATTCCTAAAATCAAGTCCTCCTTTACCTTGGAAAGCTCCTTGTTGAACCTCTCCGAGAGCGACCCCGCCAGCTTTTCGAGGGCCTCCACCTGCTGGGCAGGGAAAGCGTCTTCTGGCAGGAACACGGAGCATTGGCATATCCCGCGATCGTCCACAGAGCCATTGACACGTGAGACCAGCTGCAAGAGCAAGGAGGGCAAGGGTGAGGACACCCAAGGAGTTCTGCAGCTGGACTAGGGCATTTGGCCCTCTGAGCACAGCACCCTGTTCTTCTCCCAGTGGCCAACCAGGTGCCCCAACAGGTAGTCTACAAGCAGAGGTTTCCCCACACCTGTGATTCCCAGCAACCTGTGGCTTTTGCTGTCCCAAAGCGAAACCGAGGTGGTTTGTTTGCACAGAAGTACCAAGAGTGTTTTTTTTCTTGATTCCACCAATGCTACTCAACCTGTGAAAGACAGGCGTTCTCGTTCCCCGCTCACCGTTTCCAAAATTATCTGCCCATGGCTTCTGATTCCGCTTGACTCTCATGAGAGTTCAAGGCAGAACCTCCTCAGCGTCAACCCATCTTTCTGTGCCCTCAGGTAAGACATCGCCATTGAACAGCAAGATTGTTTCCTACCTGGGAGGCTGTGGTAGATGTTGCTTTCCAGCTGGGCAGTCGAGAAAAGACGCTCTGAAATGGGGCTTCTGTAGCCATTGTCTACCAGAGGAAAACACAAACACCACATGGGAAGTTATTTCAAGTTTCTGAGCAGTCTTCAAAGGGAAGCCCATGCACAGCACATCGCGGTAGTCTAATCAGGAGATTGCCAGAGGATGGATCAGGGTGGCAAGGCAGTGATGATGACACATGACGGAAGGTAGTCAATGTGGCATTGAGAACATCTGCTGCTGTACAATGGGACTTCTCCTCTTCCCTCCCCCTCTGCACCCCCTAAATCTGTTCTGGGCATTCCTTCAACACTCCAGAGCATATCTGGGGATGATGTGGGGCACCCATGGGGAGAGAATAGGGGAGGAAGTCCCAATGTGCAAGTGGGAGAAGTTCTGCTCATGCATTCCTTTAGTTGACTACCACCCAGTGTCTTTTTCCAAAGTAGGATGTGAGCAAGGGCTTCCTAAGAACTTCTTACTGGACTGCAGGTTTCTTTTTAAACCTTGCATGTTCATGCAGGGTTTTTGTTTTAGAATCTTAGATGCTTTAAGACCTTCTAGTTTATTTTTAGACAGCACCTCTGAGCAGTGAAAGACTCCAGGGGGTTCTAGTTGCTTAGCTAAATTCGGTCTCCTTAGAATGGTCAGTGGAGACAGTGGTGTCTTTAGGAAATATGGTTTTATTTAAACATGCATACAACCTGAGTATAAGATGGAGGGGGGGGGGGATCTCAGCATTAACACCTCAACGGATCTTGCTCCCCATCAGTCACAGTTTTGGCTCCAGCACAGAGCAAGCAGGTCTGTGTCTCCAGCCTCCTTCCTGTTTTCTGGCTATTGTGTCTCCTCTCTCCCCTTGTCCCTGTTGCCATGACCCATGGGATCCTCTCCTTACCTCACTTTCTGTGATAATGCTCATGGTGGTGCTCATGCTGGCCACACAGATGCCATGGATGAGGAGGAAGAGCAGGGACCTTGAAGTTGGCCCACCCATCTTCTCCACAGTCCGCCGATGTTGTCTTGTGGAACTGGAGACCAAACCGCTAATTTATAGTCATTTCTGGGATTGTCCCTAATCAATAAATAGTGTTTCCTTGTTGAGATAGTGCTTATGTCAACACTTCAGGTTGTGAAGCTAGCAGGTGGTAGATGGGTCCAAAATTTTATTGATAGCCATAAATTGACACATGGAATTATGTACACTACCAATGCCACCATCCAGATCTGACAGGATCTAACTGGTTCCAGCACTCTGCCCAAGGGCCGCCCTCCTGTTCTCCTGTAGTTTGGGCAACTGCATCGTTCTATCAAGTGGGAAGGAGATTTGGCCACATCTCAGGTGTGCGCATGTGGCAGAATGTGTGACAAATTTGCAAGCTGTTGGGCTACAAAGCAAGCTTTAATGTGGCAGCTCCAAAAGATAGGAGAGTATTGGGGAGTGCCAGATTGGCAAGAATGCAAGTCCATGGAAGCTGGGAGATGATGGAAGAGCAGGCAAGGTCCTTCTGTCCTGCCCTTTGCTTAGGAGGTGACATTCTGGGCCCCCCACCAGGAAAGACTTGGCTTTCCCAGGTTCAGATGCCCCACGCCAACCTGGGCCCATCTAAGATGGCCAGCGGGGGCAATAAAATGTCCTGATCCAGCTAGTGTATACAAGGCGCTCTGTCTCCCAGAAGGAATTGCTACAACCCAAACCTGGCCAAGGGACGCGGGTGCCGCTGTGGGTTAAACCACAGAGCCTAGGACTTGCTGATCAGAAGGTCACGGTTCGAATCTCTGTGGCGGAGTGAGCTCCCGTTGCTCAGTCCCTGCTCCTGCCAACCTAGCAGTTTGAAAGCACGGCAAGTGCAAGTAGATAAATAAGTACCACTCTGGCGGGAAGGTAAATGGCATTTCTGTGCGCTGCTCTGGTTTGCCAGAAGCGGCTTAGTCATGCTGGCCACATGACCCGGAAGCTGTACGCCGGCTCCCTCGGCCAATAAAGCGAGATGAGCGCCGCAACCCCAGAGTCATCCGCAACTGGACCTAATGGTCAGGGTACCTTTACCTTTACTAAACCTGGCCAAGAGGGAGGGTGTGAGGTCTTGGTGCGTGATTGAATTCTGACCCTTAACTTGGTATTCCTCACAGTTTTGAAAGCAGCAGAAACTGGAGCTGAACCTTGGCTCATCCCCCCCCCCCTTAAAGCAGAGAAGTGTTAGTGTGAAATAAGAAAATAACTGAACCTAGCAGTTCTGTAGCTCTGGACTTCACTTGCAGAACTGGGGAGAGTGAGTAGGGACCTCTTTGGGGGATGCTCTGTTGCTTTTGAACATAGGAGTTGCTACTGAAATCCCTGCTCAGCCCTGAAGCTCTCAGGATAAATGATGTCCCTGCCCTTTCATTTACTGCAGCCGACTCTCTCCCTCTGGACTTCTGCTGTCTGCAGGTCCTCTCCTGGGACTCTGAGGTAGGGAGGAGGAAGAAGACATATAAATTTCCCCCGTTTGCTGACCTTCAGTGGCTGCCTTCTCATGAAGTGCTCTGGAGAAGCCTCTTTGAGGTCCATCTTCCATCAGGGCTGCAAAGTCCCGGATCGGACTGTTTATTGCCTTATGCTTGCTAAAAGCAGGAAGACATTGCACGACCTTTTTGGTGACTGAGGTAAGGGGAATGACAGAACCGCCTGGCAAGAGCAAGCAGGCAAACACTCCCAGTGGACGGGCATTGGCAGGATAGAAGATGGTGAGGATTCAGGACAGATAAGAGAAATTCCTTCTTATCTCCCTCTCACAAGATGGCCTTAAAAGAAGGTTAGGCAAATTCATGGAGGAGGTGAGGGCTATAAATGGCTCTTAGGCACCCTCAGAAGCAGCAACGCTCCTGAGTGCCAGTTGCTGGAAACCCCAGGAAGGGAGAGCTGTTCTTGTGCTCAGGTCCTGCTTCCCCATTGGGGTATCTGGTTGGCCACTGTGAGAACAGGAGGCTGGACAAGGTGAGCCAGCAGATTCCTCTAATAATAATAATAATAATAATAATAATAATAATAATAATAATACTACCCCTCCCATCTGGCTGGGTTTCCCCAGCCACTCTGGGCGGCTTCCAACCGAATATTAAAAACAATACAGCATCAGACATTAAAAGCTTCCCTAAACAGGGCCGCTTTCAGTTGTCTTTTAAAAGTAAAGTAGTTGTTTATTGCCTTGACATCTGGTGGGAGGGCGTTCCACAGGGCGGGCACCACCACCGAGAAGGCCCTCTGCCTGGTTCCCTGTAACTTGGCTTCTCACAGCGAGGGAACTGCCAGAAGGCCCTCGGAGCTGGACCTCAGTGTCCGGGCAGAACAATGGGGGTGGAGATGCTCCTTCAGATACACTGGACCGAGGCTGTTTAGGGCTTTCAAGGTCAGCACCAACACTTTGAATTGTGCTCGGAAACGTACTGGGAGCCAATGTAGGTCTTTCAAGACCGGTGTTATGTGGTCTCGGCGGCCGCCCCCAGTCACCAGTCTAGCTGCTGCATTCTGGATCAGTTGCAGTTTCCGAGTCACCTTCAAAGGTAGCCCCACGTAGAGCACATTGCAATAGTCCAAGCAGGAGATAACACAGATGCTGTCAGTTTAGCTGGACCTCAGGAGTTTGGACTCATGAAGACTGTCTGCCAGCTGTCCAGTCTCCTCTGTGTAAGCAGGGAAGCTATGAAGAACAGGAAAAGCCCAGCCCCACCCAGAGCTTTCCTGGGTCAACTCACTAGGCCATCTGCACCAAGGAACTGGTAGAGTTTATATTGTTTTTCTTTTGTTTCTGCACTTGCCGTAAGTGCACTTCTCATCTGTTTCTTATCCAAACAGAGTGACTGGATCAAAGGTATGAGCTCCGCAGCCCATGCCAGGATTAATTAGGAAAGGGGTGGGAAATAAAGGGGACGCTATTGTAATGCCATTTTATGAATTTACTTTGCAATGCCGTAGGGTGTACAGATCCGGACGCCTCCCCTCGAGAATGAGGTTGCAAAGTTGGAAAAGGTCCAGAAAGGGGTGAAGAAAATGATCCGAGAGACGCGGCAACAACTTCCCATATTTGGAAAGGTGGCAGGAGGATTTGTGACTTTTTAGTTTAGAGCAAATATGAGGAAGAGGCAACATGATTGAAGTTTGTGGGGTCTGGAAGGGTCACGTCCACCTACCTGGTCACATGCAAAGGAAGGATGCTCCAGACCAGGTGTAACAGGAAGTCCCCCTGGCTGGAGCAACATCCCCCCTGTAAGTCCACTCTAGGCAAACAGGAAATGTTGTATTTGACTGCTTATGTCACATCCCACACATGGCAGCTAATGGAAGGTTGAGCAAGGGGCCATTCTGCAGTCTCCTCTGCCTCAGACCTCCCAATGTACCTCAGCCGACTCACAGCTCAATAGTGGGAGGACCTGGGTGGGAGCAGAATGTGTGAATGTGTGTCTACAGAACATGCGCTGGATGCTGCTGGGCAGGGGGAGCCAATGGCTGCTCACCTGGCTGATGCTTGCACTTCCTTCCATTTTCACAGGGCCACCAAGAGAGAAACGTCTCCCTGCCATGGCAGCTGTCAATCGCTCCAGCTTCACCATCGCCAAGTGCATCCTGGTTGGCGTGGAAGGCCTGGAGGAATCTCAGATGTGGATCTCCATTCCCTTCTGCTTCATGTATCTCCTCGCTCTCCTGGGCAACGGCCTCCTCCTCTTCGTCATCGCCAAGGAGTGCAGCCTCCACGAGCCCATGTTCCTCTTCCTGGCCATGCTGGCCGTGGCCGACGTGACACTGTGCACCACCACCATGCCCAAGACCCTCAGCATCTTCTGGTTCCACGCCCGGGAGATCGCCTTTGGGTCCTGCGTCACCCAGATGTTCATCATCCACTTCCTTTTTGTAGCCGAGTCGGCCATTCTCCTGGCGATGGCGTATGACCGGTACGTTGCCATCTGCGACCCGCTACGCTACACCACTGTGCTGACACCCTCGTGGATTGTGAGGATCTTGGTGGCTGCAGTGGTGAGGGCCTTCTGCCTGATGGCCTCCTTGACCTTCCTCCTACTGCGGCTGCCCTTCTGCGGCCGCAACGTCATTTCCCACACCTTCTGTGAGCACATGGGCATCGTTAGGCTGGCCTGCGCCGATATCACGCTCAACATCTGGTATGGACTGACTGTGGCTCTCTTGACCACGGGGGTCGACACAGTTTTGATCGCCGTTTCGTACGCTTTGATCCTCCGTGCCGTCTTCCGCCTCCCGTCCAGAGACGCCCGGGCCAAAGCCCTGGGGACCTGTGGCTCCCATGTCTGCGTCATCCTGATGTTTTATGTCCCAGCCTTTTTCTCCATCTTCGCGTACAGGTTTGCAGCCAACAGCATCCCTCGCCCTGCTCACATCCTGCTGGCCAACGTCTTTGTCACTGTGCCCCCTATGCTGAACCCCATTGTCTATGGGGTGAGTGCCTGGTTCAGCTGCTCTGGCGGCCTGGGAAGTGGCGCTGAGGATTCCAGGCACGTGTTCAGTTATTGTATTTTATTTTTGCCTGTAGTTGTTGTTGTTTACAATCAAGCACTGTGTAAATTTTATAAAATAAATGAAATGAAATTTAATTGGGATGGAGCTCAATCTGCAGTATCAAACCACCACATCCTTTTTATTACAGTTGGGTTTTTTGCTGAATTTTTGGTGGAATTGTCAATAGAAAGACAGCTTAAAATGCAAAAGCTATAACTAATATCAACATTAAAAAATCAACAAAATGCAGGATAATGAGACATCATAAACGAATTTTTGCATATACATGAAACCCGCTTCAGATCTGAATTGGATAAATTATAACCCACTGGTTTTCTCTTATTATTGCAGCTATTTCATTACTAACTGTTTCTCTGAAGGAGTCAGATTGTAATGGGTCAAAAAATATGATGATAAGACACATTCATACAAGCCAGACCATATTATATGCTGAAGGCGCATCTGTGTGCTTCATTATTCGTTTGTACAATAAAATCATGCCCAATAGCATGAAAATGGTCGTGGTCCTTTTGTCCTCTTGTCCCCTTGGTCTTATGAGATCATTTTGCTAATAGCTCTGTTCGCCACACTGCATATCCTACGCCATGGGTAGGCAAACTAAGGCCCGGGGGCCGGATCCAGCCCAATTGCCTTCTGAATCCGGCCCGTGCATGGTCCGGGAACCAGCGTGTTTTTACATGAGTAGAATGTGTGCTTTTATTTAAAATGCATCTCTGGGTTATTTGTGGGGCCTGCCTGGTGTTTTTACAGGAGTCGAATGTGTGCTTTTATTTAAAATGCATCTCTGGGTTATTTGTGGGGCATAGGAATTCGTTCATTCCCCCTCCCCCAAAATATAGTCTGCCCCCCCCCACAAGGTCTGAGGGACAGTGGACCGGCCCCCTGCTGAAAAGGTTTGCTGACCTACGCTCAGAATGGTGTCTGTTCTGCAGACACAGGTGGCACTCAAGAGAAGCTCCCTGGGCAATGATGAAGGGGCACCTCCCAGAAAATTCAGGACCTGCAGGGACTCAGCACCCCTCAAAGGCAGTGCATGACCCTGCCATCACCCCGTGCCAATAACTCTCCCTGCGCTCTCTCTCTCTCTCTCTCTCTCTCTCTCTCTCTCTCTCTCCAACCTCCGCTCTTCTTCACAACCACATTTCAAAATTCATGGAGGTGGAAAGGGCAATTGATGGTTGGAGGCAGCGATGCTTCTGAAGGGCAGTTGCTGGAAAACGCAGAAAGGGAGAGATCTCTTGAATCCTGCCTGAGGGCTTCCCACTGGGGGCAACTTGTTGGCTACTGCCTATGCAATTTTTCCAGAAAAAAAGGCTGCTGGAACTCACCATGAACTTCTCCCTTGTTCTCTTATAATGGCAATGGCACCCACTTGAGAGGGGCCTGAACTGAGTTCCAGTGGGGGGGACGGGACAACCCTGGTTACTTTGAGAACAGAGCACTGGAACTAGATGAACCATTGGCCTCCTAGGTTCCTCCTAGGTTCTTATGTAGGTATCCTGCCTGGACGTCCCCTTCACCCGGCACTCCCTTTCCCAGTTGCTAAGCAGCCTGCGCCTCTTTCGCCAGTCCTCGGCAGCAGATGGTTCTCCTCTCTCCCTCCATCGCAAAGGGCTCTGCTGGCAGTCTTAGGGAGAAGGGGCTGGCACGGACAGGGAAAGGCGAGGGTGGGGGTGGGCGGGCAGAGGTTTCCATGGCACTGCAGAGGACTCCCATCCCTTGGCATGCAGTAGGAGTTGCTACTGAAATCCCTGCTCAGCCCTGAAGCTCTCGGGATAAATGATGTCCCTGCCCTTTCATTTACTGCAACCGACTCTCTCCCTCTGGACTTCTGCTGTCTGCAGGTCCTCTCCTGGGACTCTGAGGTAGGGAGGAGGAAGAAGACATATAAATTTCCCCCGTTTGCTGACCTTCAGTGGCTGCCTTCTCATGAAGTGCTCTGGAGAAGCCTCTTTGAGGTCCATCTTCCATCAGGGCTGCAAAGTCCCGGATCGGACTGTTTATTGCCTTATGCTTGCTAAAAGCAGGAAGACATTGCACGACCTTTTTGGTGACTGAGGTAAGGGGAATGACAGAACCGCCTGGCAAGAGCAAGCAGGCAAACACTCCCAGTGGACGGGCATTGGCAGGATAGAAGATGGTGAGGATTCAGGACAGATAAGAGAAATTCCTTCTTATCTCCCTCTCACAAGATGGCCTTAAAAGAAGGTTAGGCAAATTCATGGAGGAGGTGAGGGCTATAAATGGCTCTTAGGCACCCTCAGAAGCAGCAACGCTCCTGAGTGCCAGTTGCTGGAAACCCCAGGAAGGGAGAGCTGTTCTTGTGCTCAGGTCCTGCTTCCCCATTGGGGTATCTGGTTGGCCACTGTGAGAACAGGAGGCTGGACAAGGTGAGCCAGCAGATTCCTCATATAATAATAATAATAATAATAATAATAATAATAACCCGCGGCTTCCAACCGAATATTAAAAACAATACAGCATCAGACATTAAAAGCTTCCCTAAACAGGGCCGCTTTCAGTTGTCTTTTAAAAGTAAAGTAGTTGTTTATTGCCTTGACATCTGGTGGGAGGGCGTTCCACAGGGCGGGCACCACCACCGAGAAGGCCCTCTGCCTGGTTCCCTGTAACTTGGCTTCTCACAGCGAGGGAACTGCCAGAAGGCCCTCGGAGCTGGACCTCAGTGTCCGGGTAGAACAATGGGGGTGGAGATGCTCCTTCAGGTCTACTGGACTGAGGCCATTTAGGGCTTGAAAGGTCAGCACCAATACTTTGAATTGTGCTCGGAAACGTACTGGGAGCCAACGTAGGTCTTTCAAGACCAGTGTTATGTGGTCTCGGCGGCCGCTCCCAGTCACCAGTCTAGCTGCCGCATTCTGGATTAGTTGTAGTTTCCGGGTCACCTTCAAAGGTAGCCCCACCCAGAGCTTTCCTGGGTCAACTCACTAGGCCATCTGCACCAAGGAACTGGTAGAGTTTATATTGTTTTTCTTTGGTTTCTGCACTTGCCGTAAGTGCACTTCTCATCTGTTTCTTATCCAAACAGAGTGACTGGATCAAAGGTATGAGCTCCGCAGCCCATGCCAGGATTAATTAGGAAAGGGGTGGGAAATAAAGGGGACGCTATTGTAATGCCATTTTATGAATTTACTTTGCAAATGCCACAGGGTGTACAGATCCGGACGCCTCCCCTCGAGAATGAGGTTGCAAAGTTGGAAAAGGTCCAGAAAGGGGTGAAGAAAATGATCCAAGAGACGCGGCAATAACTTCCCATATTTGGAAAGGTTGCAGGAGGATTTGGGACTTTTTAGTTTAGAGCAAATATGAGGAAGAGGCAACATGATTGAAGTTTGTGGGGTCTGGAAGGGTCACATCCACCTACCTGGTCACATGCAAAGGAAGGATGCTCCAGACCAGGTGTAACAGGAAGTCCCCCTGGCTGGAGCAACATCCCCCCTGTATGTCCACTCTAGGCAAACAGGAAATGTTGCATTTGACTGCTTATGTCACATCCCACACATGGCAGCTAATGGAAGGTTGAGCAAGGGGGATATAGAAGCAATGCGGCCGCGAGCTGGTAGCTTGAAAGCAAAACATAATGGGAATGTTGGGACTGTTCTGTGGGAAACAGAGGGACAGTCAATTCACAGTGCAGAGGGCACCGAAATTAGCTCAGAGTGTAATATGAGCTGTACAGGAAGTACAGGAGGAGTTTGTCTCTCGACTGCTGAAGCTTGAAGAGAGCAGACATGATTTTTGTAACGCTGCAAAGACAGAAATAAAGGAATGTAAATACGTTTCTGTCTATCTCTCTCCCCTGCCCAGGGGGGCAGGAAAGGGGGGGGGTGTTCTTCTCACGCTGAGGAGGATCGCCTATCGCGACCTAGCCTGGATCCTGCCGGGAATGCAGACAGGGAGGTCAACAGGAGATCAAGCCGGGTGCCTGGAGAGTGGCCAGTTTCTCCTGATAAAGGCTTGAATCCCAACATTCTGCAGTCTCCTCTGCCTCAGACCTCCCAATGTACCTCAGCCGATTCACAGCTCAATAGTGGGAGGACCTGGGTGGGAGCAGAATGTGTGAATGTGTGTCTACAGATCATGCGCTGGATGCTGCTGGGCAGGGGGAGGCAATGGCTGCTCACCTGGCTGATGCTTGCACTTCCTTCCATTTTCACAGGGCCACCAAGAGAGAAACGTCTCCCTGCCATGGCAGCTGTCAATCGCTCCAGCTTCACCATCGCCAAGTGCATCCTGGTTGGCGTGGAAGGCCTGGAGGAATCTCAGATGTGGATCTCCATTCCCTTCTGCTTCATGTATCTCCTCGCTCTCCTGGGCAACGGCCTCCTCCTCTTCGTCATCGCCAAGGAGTGCAGCCTCCACGAGCCCATGTTCCTCTTCCTGGCCATGCTGGCCGTGGCCGACGTGACACTGTGCACCACCACCATGCCCAAGACCCTCAGCATCTTCTGGTTCCACACCCGGGAGATCGCCTTTGGGTCCTGCGTCACCCAGATGTTCATCATCCACTTCCTTTTTGTAGCCGAGTCGGCCATTCTCCTGGCGATGGCGTATGACCGGTACGTTGCCATCTGCGACCCGCTACGCTACACCACTGTGCTGACACCCTCGTGGATTGTGAGGATCTTGGTGGCTGCAGTGGTGAGGGCCTTCTGCCTGATGGCCTCCTTGACCTTCCTCCTACTGCGGCTGCCCTTCTGCGGCCGCAACGTCATTTCCCACACCTTCTGTGAGCACATGGGCATCGTTAGGCTGGCCTGCGCCGATATCACGCTCAACATCTGGTATGGACTGACTGTGGCTCTCTTGACCACGGGGTCGACACAGTTTTGATCGCCGTTTCGTACGCTTTGATCCTCCGTGCCGTCTTCCGCCTCCCGTCCAGAGACGCCCGGGCCAAAGCCCTGGGGACCTGTGGCTCCCATGTCTGCGTCATCCTGATGTTTTATGTCCCAGCCTTCTTCTCCATCTTCGTGTACAGGTTTGCAGCCAACAGCATCCCTCGCCCTGCTCACATCCTGCTGGCCAACGTCTTTGTCACTGTGCCCCTATGCTGAACCCCATTGTCTATGGGGTGAAAACCAAGCAGATCCGTGAGTGCCTGGTTCAGCTGCTCTGGCGGCCTGGGAAGTGGCGCTGAGGATTCCAGGCACGTGTTCAGTTATTGTATTTTATTTTTGCCTGTAGTTGTTGTTGTTTACAATCAAGCACTGTGTAAATTTTATAAAATAAATGAAATGAAATTTAATTGGGATGGAGCTCAATCTGCAGTATCAAACCACCACATCCTTTTTATTACAGTTGGGTTTTTGCTGAATTTTTGGTGGAATTGTCAATAGAAAGACAGCTTAAAATGCAAAAGCTATAACTAAAATCAACATTATAAAATCAACAAAATGCAGGATAATGAGACATCATAAACGATTTTTTGCATATACATGAAACCCGCTTCAGATCTGAATTGGATAAATTATAACCCACTGGTTTTCTCTTATTATTGCAGCTATTTCATTACTAACTGTTTCTCTGAAGCAGTCAGATTGTAATGGGTCAAAAATTATGATGATGATAAGACACATTCATACAAGCCAGACCATATTATATGCTGAAGGCACATCTGTGTGCTTCATTATTCATTTGTACAATAAAATCATGCCCAATAGCATGAAAATGGTCGTGGTCCTTTTGTCCTCTTGTCCCCTTGGTCTTATGAGATCATTTTTCTAACAGCTCTGTTCGCCACACTGCATATCCTACGCCATGGGTAGGCAAACTAAGGCCCGGGGGCCGGATCCAGCCCAATTGCCTTCTGAATCCGGCCCGTGCATGGTCCGGGAACCAGCGTGTTTTTACATGAGTAGAATGTGTGCTTTTATTTAAAATGCATCTCTGGGTTATTTGTGGGGCCTGCCTGGTGTTTTTACAGGAGTCGAATGTGTGCTTTTATTTAAAATGCATCTCTGGGTTATTTGTGGGGCATAGGAATTCGTTCATTTCTCCTCCCCCCAAATATAGTCTGCCCCCCCCCCACAAGGTCTGAGGGACAGTGGACCGGCCCCCTGCTGAAAAGGTTTGCTGACCTACGCTCAGAATGGTGTCTGTTCTGCAGACACAGGTGGCACTCAAGAGAAGCTCCCTGGGCAATGATGAAGGGGCACCTCCCAGAAAATTCAGGACCTGCAGGGACTCAGCACCCCTCAAAGGCAGTGCATGACCCTGCCATCACCCCGTGCCAATAACTCTCCCTGCGCTCTCTCTCTCTCTCTCTCTCTCTCTCTCTCTCCCCGACCTCTGCTCTTCTTCACAACCACATTTCAAAATTCATGGAGGTGGAAAGGGCAATTGATGGTTGGAGGCAGCGATGCTTCTGAAGGGCAGTTGCTGGAAAACGCAGAAAGGGAGAGATCTCTTGAATCCTGCCTGAGGGCTTCCCACTGGGGGCAACTTGTTGGCTACTGCCTGTGGAATTTTTCCAGAAAAAGAGCTGCCGGAACTCACCATGAACTTCTCCCTTGTTCTCTTATAATGGCAATGGCACCCACTTGAGAGGGGCCTGAACTGAGTTCCAGTGGGGGGGACGGGACAACCCTGGTTACTTTGAGAACAGAGCACTGGAACTAGATGAAGCATTGGCCTCCTAGGTTCCTCCTAGGTTCTTATGTAGGTATCCTGCCTGGACGTCCCCTTCACCCGCCACTCCCTTTCCCAGTTGCTAAGCAGGCTGCGCCTCTTTCGCCAGTCCTCGGCAGCAGATGGTTCTCCTCTCTCCCTCCATCGCAAAGGGCTCTGCTGGCAGTCTTAGGGAGAAGGGGCTGGCACGGACAGGGAAAGGCGAGGGTGGGGGTGGGCGGGCAGAGGTTTCCATGGCACTGCAGAGGACTCCCATCCCTTGGCATGCAAATGCCAAAGGAGCAGGCAGGAAGGAAAGAGCTCAGACAGGTCCTGTTAATCTTTAATTCGGAGCCTGGATGCCCCACTGCAGCTGGGAGCTCCCCATAGCACGCCCCCCCCTTGCTGGAATTCCCAGTCTGGAAGCATTGAGACCAGTGCCACTTCCTTCCCCAGCCCATTCTCTTCCTAGCAAAGGCATTTTCCTCACCTCCTGCTGCTCAAGGCGAGCCACCTGGCCTTCCCTCACGAAGGAGAGTCCCTGAGAACTCAAGAGCAGCCACCCTGAAAGTAAGTCCTGCTTGTTGCTTTGCTTTCATGCCCAGAAAACCCAAGGTGCTTAAACAGCTGCCCCTCGGGCTTGTTCTATCCTCATTGCAACCCTGCAAGGGAAGGGATGTGGCTCAGTTTTTCTGTCAGGCATAGTGGAGGTCCCAGGACGCTGGCAGAGCTCTCATATTTCCTTCCCAAAGCCCAGTGCCTTTCATACTGGTTTGGGAAAGGCACCAAATGTTGTTGAGGGCCACAGAAAGGCCTTGAGGGCCGCCTATGACCCTTGGGCTGTGTGCTGGACTCCCCTGAGCTAGATGGACCAAGAGGCTGGCTCCGTATCAGTCAGCTTCCTACATTCCTATGTTTGGTGGAGACAGGATGACTGGCCCGAGATGGGGAGCAGACAATGCTTGGCCCTGAGAGACAGGGACCTGGGACACCAGGGTTCAGATCCCCACTTGGCTGTGAAGGTCACCCACCGAGCAATGACAGTGCAGAGGCACCAAGATCCTTCCCGTCGTGGCTCTGCTGCCAACTGATGAGGACACTCAGGGCAGGAACGAACTTCTGTGAGACCGCTCCATGTGTGGCCCTGGGAATGGATAGTAGGACCATGAAATATCATTGTTTGACACGTGCAATTATGGGATTCTTCCTGAGCTATGGGGAGACCTATTCAAAGCCACCTTCTGGCACTGGGTAGAGTGAAGGACTGGACTCAAGCCTGGCTGAATTCACTGAGAAAGCAGAGTTTGACTTACTTGCATGAGAACCTCCGGCAGCTGAAACAGGCCAAAGAGACCCAGCTAGATGCCGCACAGAGAAGCAGGCCATGACAACAACATGGGGCCCCCAGGGAGGCTTATAATGCTCCTAGGATTTATTCTTTGTGTGTCTCAGCGGCTGGGGATAAGTGGGCAGGGAGTGCAGAACTTGTTCCTTTGCCCTGTTTCCAGGACACGTCTAGAACAGCCTGGGGCACCCAAATAATTATTTCGTTAATCATTTTTAAAAGCTGTGCAGGGAACTGAACACCTAAATGCGTCTTGTGTTTCTAATTTCTGGACATCCCTCCCTCCCTCCTTCCCTTCCAAAAGGCTTGCCCAAACGCTGCCTCTGCCTCCTGCTGTAACGACAGGCTGTGTCTGTGTCTATCACTGGGGCCAGAAGCAGCAGATGGGGAAGTGCCAAGCACCAAGAGAGCCCAGAGGTGTGAAAAGGTCAAAGGCGAGACCAACGCTGGCAGCTATCAAACAAACCCTAGTTGTAGCTCTGGACAATCAGGATCAGGGAACTCTTCATACTGGCTTTCCACAGATGTACCAATTCGGCTTGCTGAAACAAAATAACAGAATCATAGAATTGTAGGGTTGAAAGGGAGACCAAGGGTCATTTAGTCCGACCCCCTGCAATGAGGGTGACCATCCAACCTCTGCTTTGTTGTTGTTGTTTAGTGGTTTAGCCGTGTCCGACTCTTCGTGACCCCATGGACCAGAGCATGCCAGGCACTCCTGTCTTCCACTGCCTCCCGCAGTTTGGCCAAACTCATGCTGGTAGCTTCGAGAACACTGTCCCACCATCTTGTCCTCTGTCGTCCCCTTCTCCTTGTGCCCTCCATCCTTCCCAACATCAGGGTCTTTTCCAGGGAGTCTTCTCTTCTCGTGAGGTGGCCAAAGTATTGGAGCCTCAGCTTCAGGATCTGTCCTTCCAGTGAGCACTCAGGGCTGATTTCCTTCAAAATGGAGAGGTCTGATCATCTTGCAGTCCATGGGACTCTCAAGAGTCTCCTCCAGCACCATAATTCAAAAGCATCAGTTCTTTGGCTATCAGCCTTCTTGATGGTCCAGGTCTCACTTCCATACATCACTCCTGGGAAAACCATAGCTTTAACTAATCGGACCTTAAAAGCCACCAAAGAATGAGAGTCCACAACCTCCCAAGGGAGCCCATTCCACTGCCAAAAGGCTTTTACAGTCAAAAAGTTCTTCCAAATGTTTAGCCAGAATCTCCTTTCTTGTCATTTGGATCCATTAGTTTGAGTCCTGCCCTCCAGAACAGCAAGAAGCCAAGCTTGCTCCATCTTCCATGTGATAGCCCTTCAGATATTTGAAGATGGCTTTCTCATCATCTCTTAGTCTCCTTTTTTTTCAGGCTAAACATGCCCAACTCCCTGAACCATTCCTCATAAGGCTTGGTCTCCAGACCATGGATCATCTTGGTTGCCCTCCTCTGCTCAACTTGAAAATATCCTTCTGAAACTGGGGTGACCAGAACTGGACACCAGAGTCCAGGTGGGGCCTCACCAAGGCAGAATACAGGGGTGCTACTACCTTTTTTACCAAATAATTTTTATTAGTTTTCCAATTTTGTTAAGAAATTCACAACAAATTCATTCAAATTTAACACAAATTTAAAGATTTGCATTACACACACACACACACACACACACACACACACACACACACCCCCCTTCTAGATGCTGCTTCTCCTTCCCTCTGTTGCTGCTTACAGTCCAGTGGTGCTATTACTTCCTTGATGTGGTCCTGCAGGCTATTGATTTTGTAATCTTTCTCTCTCCTAGGAGCAGGAGACACCAGCGGAGAAGACCTTTTGCCCCCCATCATCATGGCTGCTCTCAATGACAGCAGCTTTGACCCCGTCACATTTGTCCTGACCGGCATCCCTGGCATGGAGGCATCCCACGTGTGGATTTCTGTCCCCTTCTGCCTCATGTACGTCATGGCCCTCCTGGGGAACTCGTTCCTCCTCTTCCTCATTGCCACGGACCACAGCCTTCGCCAGCCCATGTGCCTCTTCCTGGCCATGCTCTCTGTGTCGGACCTCCTGCTGTCCACGGTCACTGTGCCTGAGATGTTGGCCATCTTCTGGTTCGGCTCCAGGAAGATCTCCTTCGACGCCTGCATTGCCCAGATGTTCTTCACCCACTTCAGCTTCATCGCGGAGTCCACCATCCTGCTGGCCATGGCCTTTGACCGCTACGTCGCCATCTGCGACCCGCTGCGCTACATGGCCATCCTGACCCCATCGGTGATTGGGAAGGTGGCCCTGGCGGCCGTGGTCAGGGGGCTGTGCATCATGTCCCCACCCATCTTCCTCCTCAAGAGGCTGCCCTACTGCGGCCACAGCACCATGCAGCACACCTACTGCGAACACATGGGCATTGCCCGCCTGGCCTGTGGAGACATCACCATCAACATCTGGTACGGCTTCACGACGACCCTCCTGTCCTCAGGGGTGGACGTGGTGCTCATTGCCTTGTCATACGGCTTGATCCTCAGGGCCGTCTTCCAGCTGTCCTCCAAGGAGGCCCGCCTCAAGGCTCTCCGCACCTGCGGCTCCCACATCTGCATCATCCTGATGTTCTACGTGCCTGCCTTCTTCTCCTTCCTCACCCACCGCTTTGGCCACAACATCCCCAGCTGCATCCACATCCTGCTGGCCAACCTCTACGTCATCGTGCCCCCCATGCTCAACCCCATCGTCTATGGGGTGAGAACGAGGCAGATACGGGAGCGAGTCACCCACGTGTTCTCGCGGACAGGGAGGTGGAGGTGCTGCTAGAAGGCAGCGCTTGGTGCATCAGCCCCCCTGAATCTTTGCAGAAGGTTGCCTGAGATATGGAGACCCTCCTTCATGACAGAAGGAAGGTGGGCTGCTGAGAAATTGGGTGAGCAGGAAGCTAAGGTGCAATTCTTACCTGGCTCTCTGCTCTCAGTTTCATAGAGCTGGGAAAAGTTCAGAAAAGGGCAACCGAAATGATCAAGGGGTGAAATGATTCCCCAACACGGAAATGTAGCAACTTTTGTGACTTTTTAGTTTACGAAAACGAAGAGGTGCCATGATAAAATTATATGTGGCATGGAGGGAGATCTAATAAAGCTGAATGCTGGAAGATTCGTGGCAGATAAAAGAAATGACTTTTCCACGCAGAGTTAAACTATGGAACTCACACCTACAAGGTGATGACCGCCAACCTATAAGAGGATTAAACAAATTCATGGAGGAGATCATCAACGGCTCTGCTCTGCTTGCACAGTCAGAGGCACCAATGAATACTGGTTGCTAGAAACCACAGGGTCTCTGTGCTCAGATCCTGCTTGATGGCTTCACATTAGGACATCTGGTCAGCCACTGTGAGAACAGAATGTGACACAGCCCTGAGCCGGCGATACTGAAAGTCCCGTTGGAATTGGGAAGCATCGTTGTTAAGTGGTAGAGCACCTGCTTGGAATGTAGAAAACTTAAGGAACGGGGGCGGGGGGAGTCACAGGGTTCACAGAATCCCATTTTATGGATTTGACATTGTTTTTGTGTACAATTTTCTTTGTGGTTGTTATTGTGTTGGTTATTGTGTGTTTTTGTTTTGTTTTTGTTATTTTTGATGAAAATTTAATAAAAATATTATATATCTATATCTATATCTATCTATCTATCTATCTATCATCTATCTATCTATCTATCTATCTATGTATCTATCTATCTATGACAGTCCCAATTTCAGTTCCCAAGGGCACCTCCAGGCTGAAACCCATGACAGCCACTTCCAGTTGGTGCAGCAGAAGGAACAACCCTAGGCTGTGTGGAACAATGGTTTGACTCAAGAGAAGGTAAAGGTAAAGGGACCATTAGGTCCAGTCGTGGCCAACTCTGGGGTTGCAGCGCTCATCTTGCTTTACTGGCCGAGGGAGCCGGCGCACAGCTTCCGGGTCATGTGGCCAGCAGGACTAAGCCGCTTCTGGCGAACCAGAGCAGCACACGGAAACGCTGTTTACCTTCCCGGCGGAGCGGTACCTATTTATCTACTTGCACTTTGACGGGCTTTCGAACTGCTAGGTGGGCAGGAGCAGGGACCAAGCAACGGGAGCTCACCCCGCCACGGGGATTCAAACCGCAGACCTTCTGATCAGCAAGCCCTAGGCCATGGGTAGGCAAACTAAGGCCCAGGGGCCGGATCTGGCCCAATCGTCTTCTGAATCCGGTCCGTGGACGGTCTGGGAATCAGCGTGTTTTTACATGAGTGGAATGTGTGCTTTTATTTAAAATGTATCTCTGGGTTATTTGTGGGGCATAGAAATTCGTTCATCACCCCCCCCAAGAAATAGTCTGGCCCCCCCACAAGGTCTGAGGGACAGTGGACCGGCCCCCTGCTGAAAACGTTTGCTGACCCCTGTCCTAGGCTCTGTGGTTTAACCCCACAGCGCCACCCGCGTGGTGACTCAAGAGAAGGCAGCTTCTAATGTCGAATCGGTAGCCGGGTGATTTTCTGGGTGGACCCACACTCTACATTCAAAGCACATTCAGCGCATATTGAAAGCACATGACTCCCCCCAAGTAATCCCAGGGAGTATTTCCTGTGAAGGGTGCTTTGCAAAAGGGAAACTTCGGTTGTAACAGTTGCGTATGTCCATTGCTAACTCTGAAAAGGACCCTGGCAGTGCATTCAACAGCCGCAGGTTGGCTTTGGTTTTAGTTTCAAGACGTTCTTCACAACTGCCATTTTGGATGTGGTGGGAAACTTTGGGGAATGCGAGGGGAGAATTCTGGACTTGGGTCAAATGGATAAATGGGCCCTTCAGCTTATGCTAAAGTGTGGGCTACATGAAAATATAACCAATAAGATGCAACACACCCATGTTCTTTTATTTTATTTGTTTTTCTTGTGTTTTATTCTATTTAGTCATTAAATTTGTATGCCGTCTTTCCTCCAAAGATCACAGGAAGGATCACAGCATAAAAATAGAAAACGAGAAGACAAAATACATAATAAAACACAAACCAACAACCCTCTCCCACAAACACACGTAAAAGGCCATAGAATGTTAATGAGCCCAAGGCCTGGTTTTCTCCTGGCACCTACAGATATGTAACAAAGGCACCAAGTGAGCCTCCCTGGGGAGAGCATTCCACAACTGGGGAGCCACTGCAGAAAAGGCCCCGTTCTCGTGTTGCCACCCTCTGGGCCTCTTGAGGGGGAAGCGCATGAGGAAGAGTCTCAGCTGATGATCACGGGGTCCAGGTCAGTTCTTGTGGGGAGAGGTGGTCCTTGGGGGTATTGCAGTCCTAAGCCCTTTGCATCTCTGTCCATATGGTGTCCACATGATAAGAAAGCGAGGGAATTAGGGTTGACATTTCTGTTTCATCCCCCTTGTGTTCAGCATACTGGCAGTTGCTGCAGTATTTTCTTTTCCAAATATGTAGGAATATTTGCTCACCCTCAAAAGTACCCTGCTGCACTCATGCTGCATGTCATAGAATCATAGAATCATAGAATCATAGAGTTGGAAGAGACCACAAGGGCCATCGAGTCCAACCCCCTGCCAAGCAGGAAACACCATCAGAGCACTCCTGACATATGGTTGTCAAGCCTCTGCTTAAAGACCTCCAAAGAAGGAGACTCCACCACACTCCTTGGCAGCAAATTCCACTGTCGAACAGCTCTTACTGTCAGGAAGTTCTTCCTAATGTTTAGGTGGAATCTTCTTTCTTGTACTTTGGATCCATTGCTCCGTGTCCGCTTCTCTGGAGCAGCAGAAAACAACCTTTCTCCCTCCTCTATGTGACATCCTTTTATATATTTGAACATGGCTATCATATCACCCCTTAACCTCCTCTTCTCCAGGCTAAACATGCCCAGCTCTCTTAGCCGTTCCTCATAAGGCATCGTTTCCAGGCCTTTGACCATTTTGGTTGCCCTCCTCTGGACACGTTCCAGTTTGTCAGTGTCCTTCTTGAACTGTGGTGCCCAGAACTGGACACAGTACTCCAGGTGAGGTCTGACCAGAGCAGAATACAGTGGCACTATTACTTCCCTTGATCTAGATGCTATACTCCTATTGATGCAGCCCAGAATTGCATTGGCTTTTTTAGCTGCCGCGTCACACTGTTGGCTCATGTCAAGTTTGTGGTCAACCAAGACTCCTAGATCCTTTCACATGTACTGCTCTCAAGCCAGGTGTCCCCCATCTTGTATTTGTGCCTCTCATTTTTTTTTGCCCAAGTGCAATACTTTACATTTCTTCCTGTTAAAATTCATCTTGTTTGTTTTGGCCCAGTTCTCTAATCTGTCAAGGTTGTTTTGAAGTGTGATCCTGTCCTCTGGGGTGTTAGCCACCCCTCCCAGTTTGGTGTCATCTGCAAATTTGATCAGGATGCCCTTGAGTCCATCATCCAAGTCGTTGATAAAGATGTTGAATAAGACCGGGCCCAAGACAGAACCCTGTGGCACCCCACTAGTCACTCTTCTCCAGGATGA